GACCCAATGCCGAGCCTGCCTGATCGTCTTGAAAGATTCCCAGGACAAGCCCCTGACGGGGTGCCGTGGGACCCCCGACTTCCTCAGAGCCTTCCTCCGCTCCCCTCAGGGTCACCAACTAGTTGCCGTCCACCAGTCTGGTAGTAGATGTGCTGTCCCTCGAGCGTGTCACGGACACGGTGCGGTAGTGCCCGAGCCCGGGGCCAGTGCTGGTTTTCGGCTGCCTGATCCTCCTGAGCAGTCTGATAAGCCAGTGTTTGCATGCGTGCTGTGCGGGGCTTGGGCCCCACAGAGGCGCAAGCTGAAGCTCCGAAGCCCCTGCGCCCATCCCACCCCGAAGGGGATCGAGGTGTTGAGAAATCTTCGAAAAGGTGTGGGCCCTCACAGGGGGCTCGCCAAGCAGATTTTGTCGACCCTCCCTCTGGACCGTGTGGCGCGGACACCGCGTGCCCCGACGGTTGGAACCACCAGCGTTTCTGCGAGGTCGAATCCTGATGCAAGTTACCCCTTTGAAGCTCGAGTGGCCGCCCTCCACGAGCGAATTCGTCAGAAGGAGTTGAATTCTCGAGCGAGCTCCAGCGGGGAGTTCGCAAGCGAGTCCCGGGTGTGACATTCAGCGAGCGTGGCGGGTATAGTTTTTCCGCCTGTTCAGTTGTGCCCTTTTCGTTGCGTCCCGAACTGTGGATGCGGGTACTGGCACCGAAATTCGTGACATTTTCGTTGCGTATTGTGCCGTCTCGGGGTCCAGCTGGTGGCGAAAGTGGCTAACGGGTACGGGCTGAAATGACCCTTAGCGCCACCCTGCTGGAACCCAATTGTCTTGGCTGAAGCCTGGTCCGCCTCTCGGCGCTTGTCTTATCTTATCCTCGTTACCCCCTCCAACTTATGGTGGTGGTGGTGGAAAACAGGCCCATCAGTGGCGAAGCGTCCCGGCTCGCCTATAGGCCCAACAAGGAATGTGCTGAAAATTTGTTGTGGCCTGGGCGGAGTGTTCCTCATAACCTTTCCGGCCGAGGCCGTCTTGTGATAACAAACGCATCGGGCTTATGTTCCAAGAGTATGTTGCTTTTCTTCTTGAGACATGATTGGGTTCTAAGGGCATGTCGTGGTCGGCCTATAGGAATGCCGGGACGGTCGGTCCCTGCTCAACTTTGGGCCGTTCCTTGTCGATCTCCCGAAGTCCATGGTTCAGCGAAGCTCGCCTTGTTCCCTCCCCGCTTAGCTCCTTTTCCCTCTCCTCTTCGCTATGCTCCGCCTCGGTTTACGGTTGGATTGAGGTATCAGATCGAGGAGGTTCAGGGAAGGTGCCCCAATGTTCTTCGTGTTTGTTGGATGCTTTTGTGCTTGCTGAGGGAGGACTCTCGAGTGGTCTGATGATTTCGGGTATGTTGGCCGGCGGCCGCGCCCCCCCCCCCCCCCCGCGGCCTCGCCGCGTGAGAGTGCCCCCACGTTGTTGTCCCCTCTCCGCGGCCGCCCCCTCTCCTCTCTCCTCTTATCTTGCATGCGGGCTAATTGGCGACGCCCTGTCCCAGTCTCGCCCCAACGCGCGAGCGGATTGCCTCTGCCGCGCCGCGACGGAAAAAAAAGCGTTGGCCAGCGAAGGGTCTCATGTTCTTGAGGGATGTTCCTCTGCCCTCGAGCAGTGGCGCAGCGTCCTAGCTTGCCTATAGTCCCACCGCTTGTAACACTTCTGGCTGAGACTGTCTTGTTTTAGCACATCGGTGTTAGTGTTCGTGTTCTAAGATCCTTGTTTCTGTTTTTTGACATTGTTTGTTCTAGGAACATGTCGTGGTAGGACTACCAGAATGCCAGGTCGGTCAGTCCCTGCTCAAGGGATGCGTTTCTGCGCTAGGCCCAGCCGTATCATTCCCTGGTGCCGTTGCCGTTTCGCTTCTGCTTGCTGTCCAGTGTCCGTCGCGCGTTGCTGCGCGACTCCATGCACGCAGCGTCTGTCGTCCTCTTCTTCCGTTGTGTCCCGCTTCCACCTCTCGATTCCCATCCTGCGCCGAATTAATGGTTGCGCCAAAAGGTTATATTTCAGGCGTTTCTTGTTCTACTTCTTCTAACTGAAACGTTCCAGAAAGGTCCTTGCCGTCGAGGTCGGAAGGACATGCCATCTCCGCGACGGAAGGGCGTCGGAAGATGGGCGGAAGGAAAACGAGGCAGCCTCCGCCGGCGGAAGCCGGCGGAAGGCCGGCGGAAGGCGGCGGAAGTAGAAGATGCGCCCCCAAGAGATGAGAACGTTTTTGGGTTCAGGGTCTTTGGAAACCTCCAAATGTTGCAGCCGTGATCTGCTCCGTGCACGCAGTGTGCAGACCGCTGGCCCGCTCCCCCGCGCTCTCAGGCTCTTCTGCGTGCCGCGTTCCCCCACGGTTGCAGCAGCAGTGGTTGGCGCTGTTTCCTTCAGTGGGGCGCCTGCTTTCGCCACGAAGCATGTTGATCGCTGCCACGCTTGGCCCCCCCCTGCCTCTGCCACGGCCACGGCACGCGCCCCCCATCACATGTCGCGAGGCGGCGCCCGTCCACCCAATCCGGACGACGCGCCCAATGCAATTTGAGCCCCAGGAACTAAACCGCCCTTTGCTGAGTGTCTGCTTGGATGCGTTCGAGTGGAGAGGGGACGGAAATGGGGTAGAAGAAGGAGGGGGGCTTGAACCTTGTCACATATGGATGGGCTATCTCCCTCAGCACCCAGAGAGTCAGAGTGTGTGGCACCTCTCCTCCCTCGGCCACTGGGGACCACAGCATCTACCAGCTAGCTTCCCCTGCCAGGAGAAGGCCATGACAGGTGACAGTCAGACTCCCCAGGTCGCAGGAGGCCACGACGTGCGAAAGCTCCAGAGCGGCATGAGGTGGGTGTGGATATCATGGCATGGGCCATGATATCTCCCCAGATCTCATGGCGCCTCTTCTTGTTTCATTACGTGCCTCGGCCCCCCCCCAGGAACCGCGCACGTGCCGCCAGTCATGATTTGCGCCCCCCCCTCTTGGACGCCCCCCTCTTCGACGCCCCCGAAGGCCGGGAGCGAGGGCGGGTCATGCGAAGTGGTTCCCCAGCGCTTGTCGCGGTGCACCGTCCTTCCTCCTCGCAACTCTACGCTTCTCCTCCCCCTCATCTCCCCCCCCCCCCTCCTCCTCATCCTCCTCCTCCTCCTCCTCCTCCTCCTCCTCCTTTACGTCGGCGGTCCCTGGCGGATCTCGGCCGTGCTCCTGCGGCCGCCGGGGGGCGGTCGGAAGCAGGCGCGGGGGGGCGGTGCACGCGCGCGGGGGGCCTGCGAGCCCGTGGCTGCGGGCCCAGACTATAGGGGAACAGAAAGTGGCATACACCTTAGGCGATGCTGAAGAAAACTTAAGTTTTCGGCCAGAGTCTCGATTATTCTTAACGTTTCAATGTAAATCCCAAGATTTTGATAGAAGTTCTGGGTTTTATTCAATTTCTGAGACTATGAATTTCTTAACCCATGAGTTCTTAAGCATTTCGCAGGGTGTAAGCATAAAAACTCGGAGGTCCGCGCGGATTTCTCGGATCGGCGCTGGGGCCCCCCGGCGCCGCCCCTGGCGCGCTCCGCGCGCCAAGGAGGGGGGTCCAGCGCCGATCCGAGAAATCCACTTGGACCTCCGAGTTGTTATGTTTATGTCACTTGTTGTTCCCCTACAGAAGGCACACTGGTAGCAGCACAGGTGAAGAGGCGGCCCGGTAAGGGCAGCGATGACGATGACGATGACGTCATCGTCACCAGCATCGTCGTCGTCGTAGTCATCGCTGTCGTCATCGTCGTCGTAATCGTCATCGTCATCGCCGTCGTCGTCATCATCGCCGTCGTCATCGTCATCGTCGTCATCATCGTCATCATTATTGACATCGTCGTCGTCGTCTTCATCGTCATCGCCATTGTCATCAGCGTCATCGTCATCTTCATCATGGTCGGCCAGTCAATGCTTGTACTCCTAGGTGTTCCCAGGGGGTCCCAGGGGTGAGAGCACGGCCGTGCGCACGTGCAAGGGATCCAAGCCGTCCGAACCTTTGGGCTCCAGGGGCGGGTGGACCTGGTGAACTTCTCGAGCGGGAGGCTCGTCTGCGGGTGAGTTGTGAGGAAAGCCTCAGGCGGGAGCCCCCTCTCTACGGGGCCGCGTGCTCATGTTAGTAGTCCGAGCGGGTCATCCACAGATCACGTGAGCGTCATCAGCATCACGCATGTGTTGGGTGTGTCCCGGCGGTTTGGCCTGGCACCCCAGCGGCCCGCGGGAATTGTCTCAGTGACCTGGCCCGCGGGGTTGACCCAACGGCTTCGCGATCTGGCTGTCGGGAGACGCGCCCCAGCCAGCCGCGACGGCGATGGCGCTGAGGAAGACCGACATGCGCTCCCATGCGAAGGGGGCAGGGGACGCGTTGCACGAGAAAAGGCAGCAGGAGGAGGAGCAGGAGCGAGCAGGAGGAGGAGGAGGAGGGTGGGGAGGAGGAGGAGGAGGAGGAGGAGGAGGAGGGTGGGGAGGAGGAGGAGGAGGAGGAGGAGGAGGAGGGGGAAGACGAGGAGGAAGAGGAGGAGGAGGAGGAGGAGGAGGAGGAGGCCGAACAGGGGGCGGGGAGCAGGCCTCCGCCAGAGCGATGACCCCTACCCTGCGGGACCCCATACCGTGTATGACCATATCGTCTGCGACCTTCTGTGTGAAGTCCTACCGGTCTTCAGGATTGCCGGGGGAGATGGGGGACGGAGAGGAGGATGGGGGTAGCAGAACGAGGAGGACGAGGAGGAGGAGGCGGAGGAGGAGGAAGAGGAGGGGGAGGATGAGTTGGAGGGCAAGAAAGGGTTGGTTGGTCGACTCAATTTCCAGGGTCTGATGCCTGTTAATTGCTGCCGTCCCTCCGCATCGGCCGTTGGCCGTTTCCGTCCTCGAAACGGGCCCACAGGTTTTTCTTGCCGAGGCATCAGGATGATTACCAAGGGGGGACGTCGGAGGAAGAGCCGAAGGAGGGAGTAGGAAGTTGCCGGGCCCGCGCGAAGGCACGATGAGGATGCTCCTCGTGCTGCTTCACGACTTTCCAGAGTTCCTGTGCGACTACCATTTCGCCTTCTGCGACCTTGTGCCCATACCGTGCGTTCAGGCCCCCGGGAAGGGAAGAGAGAGGAAGCGGATATTTTGTATGCGGAGGAGGAGGAGGAGCAAATGAGGAGAGGAGCAGGAAGAGGAGGAGGAGGAGGAAGACGAGGAGGAGGAGGAGGAGGAGGAGGAGTACATTCGAGGATGAGGAAGATGGGAGAGAGGGTGAGAGAGAGCAGGAGAGGGCCACACTGTGTGCGCTCGAGCCACATATGGCGTCATGCCCCTCCCACGCTTCCCTTCCCATTGCTCCGGAGCAGTTTGCATCCGCCGCAGGGGGCATCATGGAGAACCTTGATCCCGCAACTCGGAATCCCGCAAAGGGGGAGGCGCGGTGGGGGTGTGAGTTCGATTGCTTTAGCACCGCACCGCCCAAAACAGATGCCCCCCGGCCGCCGGCAGCGGCATCCGAGGCCGTGCCCGCAGGCTGGGCCCAGCGCCGCTGAGGAGGAGGAGGACATCCGCGGCGGCTGCCCGGCGCCCCCTGCCCGCGCACCCGCGCTGCTGCCACGGGGCCGCACGGCAGACGCCGCGGGAGCACTGAGAGGGGCACCGCGCGCAGCAGCACCAGCGCCAGGAGCAGCGCAGCGGCCACAACGGCGGCGACCGACGTTGCTCGCCCCCCGCCTGAGCTCCCCCTCCTTCCCAGACGGCGCGACCATGAATCGGCGCACCCACCAGCTGCAGACCCGTTATACCAACAGTGCTTGCAACACAACCTCGACGATTGACGACATATGCATTCACATCACCAAAGCCGTTTTCTAAGCCTATTGGGACCACCATGAGTACCACATCGCATCACCACGACACTACGCACACCGACGACATCACAGCAGACCAGAAGCTACGAGAGCTCATCGATCAACGACGCAACACATACAGTAGTGACACAACTACCAGGAACACGCTAAACAAGCTAACTTTGAAACAACTCCGGACCATCAAACGCGCTTGAGAACATGCCAAGTTGGCAATCATCGTATGCCAATGAAAAGGCCTCAAGAAGATCGTCAACGTGAAGATATCCCCAAATAGTCTCATGATCTTGTGTATGACGACCTCAGCAGGCGAAGAAGAGAGTAACAGACAGAGCATCGCAGACGTCTTTGCCACTTTCTACGAAGAGCTATACACCCTTCGAAGTGTTTTTGGAGTATCCCTCATCGTAGCCTTGGCGATAGCGGAGGCCCTCTTCCTGTCTCCCCCTCGCCCTTTCCTCCTCGCTCTGGCAAAGGTCTTCCTTCCACCTGCTGCTCGGCTTTCTCCTCCTCTTCCTCCGCCTCCCCCTCCTCACCCTCATCCTCTTCATCCCCCTTCCTCAACCTCTTCTTCCTACTATGTCTTCCCCTCCTCCTTCCTCTTCTCTTCGTGCACCTGCTCCCCAGCCCCCCGTTGCACGGGCGCGTATGCCGCTTTTCCGCGGCGCCGTCGCCGCCGCGGCCGGTTGGGGCGCGATTTCTGACAGCCAGATCGCGAAGCCGTTGGGACAACCCCGCGGGCCAGGTCATTGAGGCATTTCCTTTGGGTCGCTGGGCCGCCAGATCAATCCGTCGAGGCACACCGGGGGCCCAAAAAGGACGACTGCTACAGGATCTGGACGACCTGCGCGGATTACTGACATGATCTGGCGGCCCCCATAGGGAGGGCGCTCCCGCCTAAGAGTTCTTCACAATTCATCCACTGACGAGGCTCTCGGTGGCGACATTCCCCAGATCTGCGCTTCAGGAGCGCAGGATGAATGACAGCTAAACGGTTTGGACGACCCGTTCGGATTGCTAGCGTGATCTGGCGGCCTCATACAAAAGGGGCTCTCGCCTGAGATTTCTCACAACTCAGTCACAGACGAGGCTGCCGCTCGAGACATCTTCCAGGTCCACGCTTCAGGAACCCCACAGCGATGTAAACGACGACTCTTACAGGATCTGGATGACCCGTTCGGATTGCTAACAAAATTTGGCGGCGCCACAGGGAAGGGGGCTCCCGCCTAAGACGCTCTCACACTTCACCCATAGACGAGGCTCCCGCTCGAGACTTCCTTCATGTCTACGCTGATGTTGATGATGATGATGATGATGATGATGATGATGATGATGATGATGATGATGATGATGATGATGATGATGATGATGATGATGATGACAAGGACGATGGTGACGACGATGGTGATGATTATGATGATGATGAGAATGGTGCTGGTGACAATGTTGATGACGAGGCTGATGCTGATGATGTGTTTGTGCGGGGGGGTCATCCTGATGTTTCTGTTCCTGCGTGGGGGTGTCCGTAGAGGGCCAACAGCATTGAGCATGTGGGAGCACATCTCAGAACGACGCCGACGATACGAACAATGCCGCCGCGACAGCAGACTCCAACATACCACCGTTCACAGTGTCGGGGCCTACCCGAGCCATGAGGCAGATGAGAAACGACAGGAGCAACGACACCGCGGGGCTCACAGTTGAACTACTCAAGCCAGGGGAACCGCAATTTAGCCACACTTCATATTTGCAACATGACAAACCAACGGCCATCATCCCAGTGCCGCGTCGCTTCGGCAAACGGCTGGAAACCACACTTGGCGCGCACCAGAGCCCCGACCAGGCCGGCTTCTGGCGTGGTTTCGGCACCGAAAACCATGCCTGCACGACGGCAACGTTGCACGAACAATCACTCTGTTGGCAGCTCCCAATCTGGACTGGCGGCATTCCTTACCGCATCAGTATGTTCCCGAAGCAGACATGACTATCCTTCAACGCATGTACAGCGACCGGACGGGCACTGTCAAAACCGACGCCGCCAGCCGAAGTTTTAGTTCATAGCTGGGCGCGAAGCAGGGAAATCCATTCAGCTCTTTCTTGTTCAATGCGTTTTTGGAGCACACAACTGCTTAGGCGAAACCAGCCCAGCTGGCATCGCAGGAAGTTCGGCATAACATTCGGCTACGCCCAAGAAGCTAGCATCGCGAACCTACGTGTTGCAGACGACACGTTGCTGTGCGCCCCCTGGATTTCCGTTAACTCCCATGGTTGCTACGTGACGTAAAGAGTAAGGCGTCTTGTTGCGGACGTTCGTTACACCACTACTTTCGCGCGCATCATCTTGGATGGCGAACGCATGTAGACCAACAAACAGAACATCAAATATTTGTTCGGGACAAAGATCGTTCGACCAATTCCACGACGCCAGGCCAAACCACATAATGGCCGCGGGATGGTTTCAATTCCATCACGAACAAATGGTCGCACAATGTATTATGAATTTTCGCTGACCCTCACCAAGAATATTCCCGCCACGCTGCAAAGAACGCAACGAAACATGCGCAGACTTGCCATAGGGATCCCGAGAAGACGGAACAGGCAATACAAAGCAGACAGACGCATGGCACCAACGACACCAGCACTCAGGACAGCGATGCCGACGCCAGCACCGACACCAGCACTGACAAGAGCACGGCGCCACACGGCCAAAGCGACGGAGACAATGACGACGGGTTTGAATCTTGGTTCCACTTTCTGTGGGCAAGTACTTCCACCGTTTTGGCGCTTGCCAAACGAGCACGAGTCGACGACTGGACGGACTTGCCTTTCAGAGTAAATCGGCATTCGAAGCACACGGCGCCAATCACGACAACAGAACATGGGCACGATTGAACTCGCCTTGGTACCCAAGCTCACACGACCATCGCCCAGCTTTTCGCCGACGGGGACGACAGAGAAGTACATGTGAGTGCGACAGTGCTTCTTCTTTTGCATACTGTGACTGATGCCAGCAAAACGCACCATGGTGGGAAGTGCCCCAGAACGTACAGTGGAGGGAGAATCAAGGTAGATCTATTCTGGAACACATGCTTCTCCCACTCCGGCAACAACGCTTGAGCCGGCGCTTTGGCGCCCCTGCCAGGCTCTTGCAGGACTGGCCCCCTGGGACGTGGACAGGCGCCTCGCCTCCCCAGCCAGCCAGCCGTGTAATAGTCAAAGGGCGCCTGGTTCGGCCTCGACGAGTGCCAGGGGCTTCCCACGGGCTGGCCCTCCCAGCAGGCCGCTTCTGGCGTAAGCGCCGCGTGCGGACCAGGGAGGAGGGAAGAGGGAGGAGGGAGCAAGGAGGAGGGAGGAGGAAGGAGGGAGGAGGGAGGATGGAGGAGGGAGCGAGGGAGGGAGGAGGGAGGAGGGAGGAGGGACGGAAAAAGGGAGGGAGGGGGGGAAGGAGCGAGGGACGGAGGGACGGAGGGAGGGAGGGAGGGCAACGACGAGGACGGAACCATGTCCAGAAGTGCTGCCCGCGTTGGGGCGAGAGGGCGAGAGAGTGGCATTCTGCACGGCGCGGGACATCGCCGCTATTGAAATGCGGCCAGCACTGCAGCGTGAGCGCCACGTCTGAAAAGGCAAAGAAGGTTCCGATCGACACCAGGCAGACTTTTGGAAATCTTGTGTGTATGCCATCTGCGGGAGAGGTGGCGGCAGCATCGGACATGATCAGGGGAGAGACCAGGGTAGCATTGATTTGGAGTACGGGTGGAAAAGGGGAAAGGAGTCAATAGGAGGAGGGAGTGAGGATAAGGAAGGAGAAGAGTGACAAGGGGTCGATGGCGGTGGAGGAAGGCAAATATGGAAGGGGAGGCGGAGGAGGAAGAGGAATAGGATGCGCCTGCGAATTGTTCGCCGTGTAGTCGGTGGTTTTTAGACAAAGGTTCGTCACCACTCCCGTGTGGAGGAGTGATGACGCAACAGAAGCGAAGGAGAAGGCCGATCGCGTGTGAGGACACATGAGCTCCGCGGCCCCTCCTCCTTCTCCATCTCCCCCCTCTATGTCATACATCGCCGTCTCTTTCCCATGCTCCCTACCGCCCTCATCCATCTCATCCTCCCCGCTGACCTTGTCCCTCCTATTATTCCTCTGCCTCCTCCATGTCTTCCGTCCTCCTCCTCCTCCTCCTCCTCCTCCTCCTCTTGCCCCTCCTCCCCATTTCCCCCACGCCCCTCCTCCCCGTTCTTGCCTCCTCCCTCACCCTGCACATTCTCCCCCGCCACCTTCCCCCCCCCCGCCCCCTTCCCCGCGCGAGATCCGCAACCTCATCCTGTCCGCGTTCCCCAGGGACATGCGGCTCCCAGATCCGTTCGAGCCGAACCTGAAGGCACAGTCCGGGGCGAAGGAAGGGTAGGGGAGATGAGGACGGGTGGACGAGGTATGGGGCAGATGGGATGAGAGGAGTATTGTGTTGCCCGCTGTTGTTTCATCAGTTTTTTTTCGCCCGCGTTGTTTCGCATGCTTGTGTGTTCGCCTGGTTTTGTCACATCCGCTGTTGTTCTGTCCCCCTTTTGTTTCGCCAGCCTTTTGTTTTTGTTCGCTTTGGTTCTCTCCGTTTTGATTTATTTCGCCTTCGTTTTTGTCGCCGCTGTTTCGCCCGTTTTAGTTTCGCATGTTTTCCTTTTGCGCGCTTTCGTTTTCAAGCCAGGGGAGTCTGGACGGGGCGAATCCAAGGCGGGCAAGTCAAATTCGGGCGAATGTATAACGGGCGAGCACACATCGGGCGAATTAAAACCAGACGGCTCAGACCCGGGCGAATGAAAAAAATTGGCGAATTCAAAGCAAATTGATTACAGCCTGGCGATTTGAAGCCGGGCGAATTAAAGGCGGGCGATGTGAAACCGGGCGATTGAACATTGGGCAACAAGAAACAGCAAAAACGTCAACCCTGGCATATCGCGACAGGTTGTGTTCAGATGAATCGAAAGCGGGAGCGACAGGTGACTCTGCGACCGAGGCGGGATTTGATGTTCTGGGCAAATTTGTCAAATCAGTTCTCTTGCAGGCCAGAAGCGCTAACAGGCAGGCAAATAGGATCAGAACATCCCACTGCTGTGTCCATCGATGTCCGTATTGAGAAATGGATGAACCCTCGAATTGCAAGAGCGCGTTACAATCTGAAAGTCAGCGGCATGACATTCCAAGACGTCTCGCACAGCAGGTCGACGTTTTAAAGGACATGCGCTCCATCCGTCTGCATGTTTCAAAATTGGGAATTCCAAGTAATCGAAATGGGCGCAGTCTCCAACAACATCGGTATTTCAACAAAAAGTCCGTCTCTATCCTGGTAGCTTTTCGAAATTTGCGCAGCGAAGGTGCGCGTTGCTATGTCGAGATTGTTTTCATCTTGGTAGTCGCTCGGTTGATTCGAGAGTCAAAAATTGCTATCCGAAGCAGACTCAATCGGAAGGCCTCTCACGCGAAGGGGTTACGTGGCCTCTCAAGCACAAGCGGTTTCGTGGCCTTTTACGCGCACGGGGCTTAGTCGTCCTCCTTGTCTTCGTCGTCGTCGATGCTGTCGTCGTCGCCGCTCTCGTCATCGCCGTCGCGTTTGTCGTCGCCATCGTCGTCGTCAGCCTCGTTGCACCCGCGGTCGTCGCCGCCCTCGTGGATGCGGCACACCACTTGAAATATCCCGCCCGACCCGACCCGCACGCCCGACCCGCCGTCGTTCGGGTCCGCCCGCCCGACCCGCACGTTAGGGTCCGCCCGCCCGACCGGCCCGTTAGGGTCCGCCCGCCCGACACGCCCATCGGGGTCGCCGTCGCCGTCGTCGACCTCACCGTCGTCGTTGATGTCGTTGTCATCGTCGGCGTCGTTGTCTTTGTTGTCGCAGTCGTCACCTGCGTCGTCGTCCTTCCCTTCGTCGCCATCGTCGTCGTTCTTTTCGTTTTCGTCGCCTTCGTCATCGCCGCCATGATTGTCGTCGCCGTCGTCGTCGTCGCCCTCGTGGGTGTTCAGTCGGGTGGATTGCACGCTACTTGAATGGCTTGCCCAACCCGACCCTATCGCCCATTAGGGCCCGCCCGCCCGACCCGCCCGTCAGGGTTCGCCCGCCCGATTCGCTCGTCAGGGCCTGCCGGCCCGGTCCGCCTGTTAGGGTCCACCCGCCCGACTCGCCCATTAGGGTCGTCGTCGCCGTCGTCGCCCCATTCGTCGTTGTCGTTGTCGTCGTCGTCGCCGTCCTCGTCGGCGTCACAGTCGTCGCCCTTGTAGTGGTTGTCGTCGTCGGCGTCGGCGTTGTCGTCACCGTCGCCGTCCTCGTCGTCGTCTTCGTTGCGGTTGTCGTCGCCGTCGTTGTCGTCGTCGTCGCCGCCCGCGTGGATTTTCGGCAGGATGGATTGCGGGCTATTTCAATGTCCCGCTCGACCCGACCCGCCCGCCCGTCAGGGCCCGCCCGCCCGATCCGCTCGGGTCCGCCCGCCCGACCCGCCCGTTAGGGTCGGCAGGCCTGGCGCGCCCGTTAGGTTCGTCGTTGCCGTCGCCAACCTCATCGTTTTCGTTGACGTCTTTGTCGTCGTCGTCCCCGTCGGCATCGCAATGGTCGCCCTCGTTTGCCATCCTCGTCGCCGCCGCCGTCGTCGTCGACGTCTTCGTCGTGGTCCTCCTCGTGGTCCTCGTTCGCGTCGTCTTCGTCGCCCTCGTCAGCACAGTAGTGGTTGTCGTCGCCATCGTCGCCCTCGTCGACGACGACCTCGTGGTTGGTCGTCGACGCCCTCGTGACTCTTCAGCCGGAAGGATTGCACGCTATTTCAATGTTTTGCCCGACCCGACCCGCCCGCCCGTGAGGGTCCGCCCACCCGGCCTGCTCTTTTGTTTGGTGGGTGCCCGCCCGATCTGCCCGTGAGGGTCCGCCTGGCCGTGCTGCCCGGTCCCGCCCGCCCGACGCGCTCGTTAGAGGGAGGGCTTCCTGGCATCGGGTGCCCGCTTTTCATTTTCCGGCGGGCGAGGGTGGGTTGCCGTGGCCTTTGAGGCCATCGAGGAGCTGTCTGCCCTAGTGGCAGGCTGGAGCGCATCATGCGCAGTCGCTACGATATGCGCCGCCTCTGGGTCACCCGTCCGACGGTCCAGGTCAGCGTTCGCGGGCGCGCGGGGTGCCCCTTGCGTCCCTCCTTGGGCCCTGTTGGGGCCCTCCTTGGAGCCTCGCGAGGGCCTTCATCGGGCCCTGTGGGGGCCCTGTCTCTGCTGGCGCTCGGGGCAGCCCGCGGAGGGCGCCAAAGAGCCCCCCGCGATGGGCCCGAGACGCCAGGGGGGCCCACAGGAGCCCCAGCGGGCTGCAGGAGGGCCCCCCCAAAACAGGGCCCCCGAAGAAGGGGCCGGAACCCCAAGAGGACCTCGCGAGGGGCCCAAGGGAGCCCTGAGAGGGGCCCGCGGGGGCGCCAACGGAGCCTCCCCAAAGGGCCCGAGACGTCAAGCCGGCGTCGAGAGGGCCCCAAGAGAGGCCCCAGAGGACCACGAGAGGCCCAAGCACCTTAGTTGCCTCGATACGCCCGTTTTGAAACGCAGTACGTCCCGTGTTCAAGACGTCCGTGTCAATACGCTGCGTGCTGGCTCCACGTATTGGGCCACGTTTTGCCGAATGTATCGCGTCGGACCTACGTCTTCAGCCTACGTGTTGAGCTCCGTATCAATACGCTACGTGTTGCGTGTTGCGTATCGGGGCAGCTAAGCCCAGCACAGTCAACCCGCATAGTAAGGATGGTAAACGGTCCTTGCATCCTTGCCTCGGTCCATCCTTGGCCACTTTCGTTCGCCGCGCCGCGCTCGAGAAGCTTCGAAATGGGCGTCCAAGGCCCCTGCATAGCTCATCGCGCATCCTTATGCTATGGGTCGGCTGTAAGGCCTTGGCTCCCGGGCGAGGTCTGGGGCGTTTCCCTTTTCCCAGGCGGTGTTGCCCAGGGCTGGACCTAAACGCTGTTTTGCTGGACTTCGGCTGTGTTTTGTTTTTCGTTTTGGCAGGGAGGTACAGGACAACAGGGAGAGCAAAACGAAAAAAACAAAACGGAAACAAAACGAAAAGCAATGTTTATTTGCAGCCCTGGTGTTGCCATATTTTCCTCGCGCAATTGTGTGGGCTTTGTTATTCGAAAACACTGGCGGTGCTGCCGGTGAAAGGTGTTGCGCAGCGCGCAGTGTTGATTCCGATGCGTCGTTCAAGTGGTGTTTCTAAAACGAATGGTCATATCGTGCGCCCGCGAGGTTTAGCCTGATGTAGTTTCGCCAGCTTTTGTTTCGATAATGTTTGGTTCGTCCGCTACATTTGCAACCAGTGAGATGCCGCCAAAATGTGTTTTTCGTTCGTTTTTGTTTCGTTCGTTTTCATTTTGACAGCCGCGGTTTCGCTGCGATTCGTTTCGCCCGCCGTTATTTCGTCTGTCGTTGTTCCGCCCGCTTGGGTTTCAACCGATGCCATTTCGCCCTCGTTGGGTCGCCCGTTTGTGCGTCCGCTTGTTTTTGTTGCATGACGTTTGATTCGCCCTCTTTTGTGTTACCTACGTTTGTTTCGCCCGCCCTTGCGTCACCAGTTGTTGTTTCATCCGCTGTTGTTTCGCCCGCGCTGTGTCGCCTGCTTGTGTTTCGTCTTTGTTTGTTTCATTCGCTCTTCAATCGCCCACATTTATTTTGCCCGCTTTTGTGTTATCTGTTTTTGTTTCGCCCGCTTCTGGGTCGCCGGGCGAGCCAGAGCTAGACACATCAGATCCAGGCGACTTGAGACCGGGCGAAGCAAAACCGGGCGAATCAAAACCGGGCGAATCGACAACGGGCGAATCGGCACAGGGCGATTCCAAACGGGTGAACCAAAGCGGGCGAATCGAAACGGGTGAGTCAAAACAGGGGCATCGAAACGGGTGAACGTGAATCCCGGTGAAACAAGGCAGAATCGGTGGGGGGACGGCGAGGAGTAGGGTAGGGGACGGAGGGGGTGGAAGGGTCGAGTAAGAGCAGGATGGTAAGGAGGAGGAGGAGAAGAAGGAGGAGGAGGAGGAGGAGGAGCAGATCAGAGTCAACACGAGGAGCGGAACAATCATCAGGAGGGCAAAGAGGCTTGGAAGGAAGACGCGTGTGGGGAGGAGCGGGGGAGGAGGGGGGTGGGAGGGGCATGCGCGAGGGGGAGGGGAACAGCGACAAGCGAAAGCTTAGCACCGCTTGCACGCTCACCACATTTTGCCTTTCTGGGTGCGAGGTCTGGGAGAGATCCCGTAGGCGCCTCTGCCCCACACTCGGACGACATACGTACGTTGATGATGGGGGGACGGAGAAAAAGGATGGTCGAGGGGGAGGAGGAGGGAGGGGGAGGAAGAGGGGGGAGTGGGGGGAGCGGGGAAGGGAATTGTGTGAGGCGGGGGCGTGGGGGGGGGGAGGAGCGGAGGAGGACGCATGCGGGAGAAGGGCGACGGGGAGGGCCAGAGGCGCGAGGGGGGAGGGAAGGTGGAGAGGCAGGCGCGAGGGGGGGGGGGGGGGAGGGGAAGGCGGAAGCTCGTGGCGAGGATCGGCGGGGGAGAGGGGGGAGCGGATTGGCCAAGCTAGGTTGAAGTGGGGCATGTCCCTCTGCAGGAGGGGTATTCAAGCATAGCAAACACATCGCCTGGGGACGGCGTTTCGTGCTCTTCTGACTATCTTAGATTATGGTTTGGCTCTTTTGGATTTGTCTTTCAATTCCCGCCTGTAGGAGGACATGCCTGACCTTAAAGCTGGGTGCGTTCGCGCCATACCTGAGGTCATCCCCTTCCCTCGCATCCTTGTCAAGTGGGTGTGGAAAGACATTGATTCTGAAAGGCGAATCCAATCGAAGAAGCACGCCCTGACCACTCTGCTGGGATGGTACAGGCCAGCCACATGCGGATGCATGGGTGGGGCCGGAGCCACGGCGAGAGCGTCTGTTCATCGGGTGGAGGCCCAACGGCAACTCTTCAAGGTGGCACGCGCTGCAGCGGGAACACTTTTGTGGATGGAAGTTTGCGGTCAGCGATGCGGCGATGGCGCCGTTTCGGTGGGCGGAAGCCCCATGCCGATAGCATACGCTGCCGTGGGAGCACAAGTGTCGCTGATGCAGGAGTGTGGCCGCAGCTGCGGCGACGGCGTCGTTCCCCGGGGCGGAGCTCGACGGGAGTGCGTAAATGTGGCGAGCTCTACAGCGGGAGCACCGCATTGATTTGCCATTCAGGCGAGGGCGAGAGCATCGTTTCAAACAGGAACCGCCCAGCCTCGTTCTTGATTTCCAGCCAGAGCCCAGTTCCAAGTGGGAGCTGTCCCTGTCCTCCTGCTGTTCAGTTTCTACAGTTTCACACACGTGCCAACATTCGAAGAACTTGCAAGCGAGAGTACCATGTTGAAAAAGGGCCGCCCTCCGCCCGTGTAAATGTTGCAAACGTCCATGTTTTTGTTGGCGAATGCCGAATAAGTCAATTTCAAGCAATAGCTGCATGGAAACGAACAACCCTCTTCCCGTGTAGCTGCTTGAAACGTTTAGTGAGAGGACTATGCGCGGTCCTGGGACAGGAGGCCTCTTCTGAAAACGGGCCATTCTTGATGCGCGTAATGGTTGGGAATGCTCACGACGCGTATTCACCGCGCTCGGGCGAGAGCCGCAAGTAGACAACCAACGGCAATCACCCGTGAGGCTGGTGTAAAATGTTCGGGGCACATGCGCGCGGCCCTCAGCAGTTGTCTGTGCGATTTCAGGCTTCAGGATCATCAGCGGTGGGGCAGTCCCAGGCGGCACGCCCAGTCCGCCCGACCAACACACGCACGGTGGCGCGACCAGAAGAAGACAACCGCAAGGACGAGATGATGAAGATGGGCGAGGAGGATGACGACGACGACCACCAAGAGGACATAGAAAGAAAAGGACATCGAGACGGGACGTGGAGAGGAGGGGAGGGAGCGAGGGCGGGAAAGGTTCGATTCCGCCCTGAGTCCTGCCGCCCGATGGTCCCTGGATGTCCTCGCAGGCTCCCAAAGGCCTCTGGCCAATCAGATGGCCAAGAACGTCCGGACACATGCCGAGCAAAAAGCCAGGAATTTCTCGCCTCAATTCTCGAGGGGAGATGGCACAATTTGGCACGGGGAAGGGCGAGGTCAGGCAGGCACAGAAGGAAGGTGCATCTCCGGGCTCCCCAAGTGGGCCTGGCGCAGATGGGGTCGCAGGGTCGCACCGTATCGACGATGCATCGGCGATGCGTAGTCCTGACGTCGCCGATGCATTGCCCATGTGTCGGGGATGCGGTGCGATCCCCGAACCCCAGCCACTCTAGTGCCTCCAGGGTGTTCTCCCGAGCGCTCTGGGACGCGCTGGAGCAGCCGCGGCACCTGATGCATCCTCCACTCCGAAAACTCGCTGGCTCTCAAAGATCTCGAGGTATCTCGCTCCGATGCTATCTTTAAGTCGGGCGTGTCCCTCTACAGGAGGAATGTTCAAAAATAGTAAAACAACAAAATAGTCTGGGGACAAATTTTCGACTATCTGACCGTTTCGGGCCATTTCTGGGGTATTTCTAATTTTGCCTCCCAAATCCGCCTGTAGGGGGACACGCCCTACCTAATGCTATCTCGTTCCCGCCGTTTGGAGCCGTCTGGGTGTCTGAGGTGGCCCAGCACTGGTTCCAGCTAGCAGCCCTGAGATCCGACGTCGCGAGAAGATGAAGCTTCGCAAGAAATGACGACCAGGGCCCTAGACCCCATCTTTCTGCTTCATTTTTCGAGCCGGATCGCCGATGCCAGAGAACTGGCGAAAACGCCCATTGTGCAAAAGTCGCAGCCTCAGGATCTCAGGGAGTCAGGGCGTGCGGGGGTTTGAGGTTCTGGGTTCGGACAGTTTTTGTTGCTCCATCGGCCTCCCGGGCCGTTTTTGAGCTCCAGGATTGAAAAGCTGATCCGAGCAGAAAGCTGCACCATGTGGACCCCGGGACAGGAGGGGTCCAGGGACCGATTTTGAGCGGATTTGGCCTCATCCCCCCCTCCTGCCCGATTCTCTGGTGTCCCGTCCAGGCTCGACCCCCTTGTCTCACGAGGGTGATGCTGCCGGGGCTAACACGGGACTGCTCCAGAGGGCCAGAAGGGGTGGTCGCGGCGGCCCGAACGCGGCCGCGACCCGTGGGCAACGGAGGAGGAGTAGGAAGAGCTGGAGAACCAGAAGGAGGAAGAGCTGGAGAACCAGGAGGAGGAAGAGGAAGAGCTGGAGAACCAGGAGGAGGTGATGGAGGAGGAGGAGCTGGAGAACCAGGAGGAGGAAGGAGAGGAGAGATTGGAGAACGAGGACTCGAGGCAGATGAGGATGAGTTCGGGTGGAGGAGATGATCTAACCGCAGAGGGTCTTCAATGATGCCCCCCCCCCTAAGCTCACGGCGGGAAATAGAAACTCGTCCCTCCTCCTCCTCCTCCTTCCCTTCGCCAGGAGGAGGAGGAGGAGGAGGCCGCCAGGCGTTGAGCGATGGGATTTTTGAGCACTTCCCATGACCTCTCATGCATCCGCCGACGAGAATAATTAATTTCCAACTCTTGTCGGGGTCCCAATCCGTCAATAAGCTGGCGGACAATTCCTTTTTGTTCCCATGATTGCCCGGGGGTTTATCAAAGACCCTTTGGGGTTACCCGCGCGACGCAGCGAGCAGCTACGGAGAGCGCAGCGAGATCGCCACCGCAAACGATCACGGACACCCCGAGTTGGAAGCGCAACGAGCGAAAAGCGCGAAAAGCACGTCACCCCGAGAAGTCTGGTTCCCGAAAGAGCGCGGGGAAACGGCTGGTGCGAGATCGACAGTGAGTCGAGGATAATAGAGACCCGCGTTCATGGGCAACTACACAGCATAGGGTGGGAACGAAGGGCCGGGGAGCAGGAGGAGGCCCAGTATGTCGCGCTACTAGAGGTGGAGAAGGATGACATAATGATGATGGGGAAAAAGGAACACGGGCCTCCAAAAGCTTATGTTGACGTGCCCTTCTTGTTTCGCTAAGCGAGGATTTGTGGATGAGGAGGAGAGGAAGGCGGGAGACGAGAAGGAGTATGAGAAGGAAGAGGAGGAAGAGGCTGGCCCACCTCCAGGTGGACAGGCTGCCAGAGATCACCAAGAACCCCGTAATTCCCACGGACTACCAGAGCACCTTGCTGCAGCATGGGCTCAAGGTGGGCGAGCCACCCCTTCCTGCACGGCACACAGCCGACGGCCAGTTGAAGGAATCCGTCTCCCCTCCCCCCCCTACGCGTTAAGCACAGTTCAGCAGAATCCTAGACGAGAAAATGGCCCAACTATAAGTAGCCTCCTTCCGCTAGGTCGAGTTCTCAGCTGCAGGGGTGGCAACGTGACTTCGCCTCGCGATCGGTAGTATCGTCCGATCCTGACCTCAGTCTCCCCCCCAGCCTCCCGCCCCTCCTCCTGCCGCTCCTCGTGCCCCCTTACCCCTCCTCCCCGTGGCCCTCTCCTCACATCCTTATCGTTGCGCGGTGGATGTGAATGCAGGTCATCTTGTCCCCTGGCCCACTCCTCTCACCCTCTCCTCATACCCCTGAGGCCCTCTCCCCCTCCCCGTGCCCCTCTCCTCACATCCTGGGCTCTGGTCACTGAGGGGCCCAGCCCGTGTGAGAAGGGTGTCGAATGGTGCTCGGAGACGCCATTCGAACGCACTGCCCACTGAGGCCGTGCATGGAGCTCCCTGTGGGGCACTTTCCGTGCGAGGGGTGTGCCAGAGTGGGCGCGGGGACACCACGCAAATGTACCCATTGGGACCACATGGGATCCCTGGTCAAGGGTTCACAGACCCCCCCCCGGATGGATTGAGTCCCAGGGTTTCACACACACACACACCCCAGATGGGATAAGGGGGGACGACGGCGCCGAAGCCGACGACGACACACGACGTCCACGATGACGACGACGTAGACGACGACGACGACGACGACGACGACGACGACGACGACGACGACGCCGACGCCGACGCCGACGCCGACGCCGACGCCGTGACGCTGACGGACGACGACGACGAACCACCCCACACCCACAGGGGTGGGGGGGGGGTGCAACGGCACCCTCCACCACGCCACGCCCACAGGGTCACGACCACGGGAGGGGTGGACGATCCCATTTCCAAGGCCTTCGCGAGTCTCACGGGTGTGCCCATCCAGCAATGGGGTGGGGGCTCGATCCCATATGCATGAGAGGTGAGGCATCTTTTGATCATGTATAGGGTTCCCTATTGGCCACGCTTCGCGTGAGGGGTGTGCCGAAGGGGGAGGGGCGGTGGCGCGATGCGAACGCATCAGCTGGTTCATGGGCGGAACGCCCTGTGAGCCACGATCCGCGGGAGAGGTGTGCCAGAATGGGCGCGGGAACGCCATGCGAACGCCCCAGCTGGGGCAAGATTTTGAGCTCCCATTGGACGCGATGAACGTGAGTGGTGTGCCGACATTGGACTCCGACGCTGTTACGCCATGCGAACGCAGAAACTGGGGCCTTAGGCGGAGCTCCTTTGGCAGCACGGTCCGCGTGAGAAGTGCACCGAGGTGAGCGAGGTCAGGAAGAGGAAAGGAGAAGGAGCCAGGATGATGATGATGATGATGATGATGATGATGATGATGATGATGATGATGATGATGATGATGATGACGATGACGATGACGATGACGATGATGATGATGATGATGATGACGATGATGATGATGATGATGATGATGATGATGATGATGATGGTGATGATGATGGTGATGATGATGGTGATGATGACGATGTTGATGTTGATGTTGATGTTGATGTTGATGTTGATGTTGATGTTGATGCTGATGCTGATGGTGATGATGATGAGGAGGAGGAGGAGGAGGAGGAGGAGGAGGCGGAGGGAGAGGACGACGAGGAGGAGAGAGAGGAGGAGGAGGAGGAGGAGGAGGAGGAGGAGGAGGAGGAAGTGGGGCGCGGCGCGGCAGATTCAAGACGAGGAACAAACAACACAGGAAGGTTGGAGACAGCACAGGAGGGTCGGGAATATGACGAGAATGACCTGAGTAAATTCAATATGCGTCAGCGATGTTGCAAAGCACCCGTCCCAAGTTCCCCCTTCACGCGTCCCTGCAAGTTGTCCTTTCCACTGCAAGACGCGCCCCCTTGAAAGACCAGCACGGTTGGACCTGTCGTTTTGGCGAGGGGCCCGCTTCGAACAAGGAATTGCAGTGCACCTTGCATCATTGTTGGCTGTTGGGCAGCGTCGGGAACGTGAAGCACTATGAGAATACCATGCAGCGGGGTGTGTACCGAGCTTCCCGTTCCGAAGAAGGGCCGCCCCCCCCATCCGTGGACCTGCTACAGCTGCACAAGCTGACACGTCTGGCCAAGTCGCACGCGACAGCTCCAGTTTGAGAAAAGGCCCCCCTGGGCCTTAGCTGCATGTGTTGAAGCCTCTGGTCTTCAGAGTTTCCGAATCCCCCAGCCAGAACCACGTTACGAAAAAGAACAGTCCTCCATCCTGGTGAGCATTGCATTCATCGACGGGTGCGCGTGGAGTTGAGGCGAGAGCCCCTTTCTGAGAATGGCCAGTGCTCAGTCCTTGAAGCTTTGCCGGCTTTTGAAACGAACCTGCACGGCGTGAATGCGGGAGCCCCGCTTCGAAAGGGCACCGCCTTCCATGCATGAAGCTACTGCAGCATGGTAAGACGAAAGTGTGCGGCGCTGGGGCGAGGTTCCCATTTTGTAAGCGGACCCCTGTTTTCCATCCGTGAGGTGCTGCGAAACGTTTAGGCGAACGTGCGCGGCACCGAGGCGGGAGCGGGCTGCTGAACTGACCCCTTCCAACCTTGAGGCTGCTGCGAGCCTGCGCGCGCGGATCCAGGACGACGGCCGCAGGTTGACATTGCCCCCCCCCTCTATGCTTGAAGCTGCTGCGTGTTTGAGTGACGAGTGTGCTCGGCGCTCAGACGAGAGCCCGCATTTTGAAATCGACCCCCCCTCTATATATTTGAAGCTGCTGCGTGTTTGAGCGACGAGGGTGCTCGGCGCTCCGACGAGCGCCGCCATGTTGAAAAGCAGCAGCCCCCCATCCTTGAAGCGATTGCAGACTTTTTATAACGAGTGCACGCAGTGCTGAAGCGATAGCCACATGTGAGAATAACCCCATCCATCCTTCAAGCTGCTGTGCGTGATAACAGGGGGTGTGCTCGGCGGTGCTGAGAGCCGCGCTTTGAAACCATTCCTCTTCAATTTTCGAGCGGTGCAGGTTTTCAAATTTCAGCGCAACAACTCGTGAGGAAGTCTCAGGCAAAACGCCTCTCCCGCTCTATCAACACGCTTGCGGGTGTGGCAGGGAGGAGTTATTCATAAGGAAAGGGAGTGGAGGGTGAGGGAGCGTGTGGGAGGGCACAGCGCTGCGAATCCAACACGAGGATCCAGTAACATAGAATCGTCTGGAAACATCGCATCAAGATTTCGATCCTCGACCGCCCTTGGCCGGCGACAACGACGACGGCGACGACGGCGGCGACACTGTGAGGCGGCGCTCGCGCAAAGAGAGGGGGGCGAAGCTGCCCCCCCTCCGCCTTCCCCCCCCCCTGGGCGCGATGGAGGCAGACGTGGATTCCTACATGCGCACGCGCGACATGCGGTTGCTCGACACCATCAAGGAGGGCAAGCAGGGAGAGAGGGCGAGCGTTTGTTACTCATTTTTTCGCCGATCGACGCGGGCCCTCGCATCCCCCGCCCCTCCTTCCCCCTTGGAGTAGATCTTGGCTGTTTGGAGTACCTGCTTCGAGCAGGTACAGCCCCCCTCATAGGACGCACGGTTCCAAATAGTCGCACTAAGCAGAGGTCTGGAGCCAGACCCCCCCTTCCCCCCAACTTCGCCCAATGTCGAAACGCCGAATAAGAAAACGCAAACGCTCGCCGAGAAGCAACGCGGGTGAGACAAGATAGGTGAACCGACAGCCGTCCATATGTTTTGTCTGTGCTGGGGCTGGGTCGAGGAGGAGGACGACGACGGTCTCGTTTTGAATGCTGTTCAGCAGTTCTTTAAGGTGTTCGTCGTTTCGGCTGAGCGCAACTAGAAACACGTGTTGATCGGACTTCTTGGTCGGAGGATCGAGGTTCGAGGATGGAATCGTTGTTTCTGGCGTGTCCTGCCTCCTGGCGCCTACTGTGGCCTCCAGGAGGCCTGGAGGGGGCCTCCGTGGACCAATGGGGACATTCAGGAATGCGGCTGGCGTGTTACAGCCAGCCCGCACAGCAAGGATGGGCAACCTTCCAAGGGTACCCTTGCACCCTTGCCTCTTCGGCCCTTCCTTTTGGCCGCTTTCGTTGGCCGCGCCCCCTTCGAGAAGCTTCGACAATGGATTCCGAGGCCCTCGCATCCTAATCGCGCATCCTTATGATACGGGCCGACTGTATACACTCCAGGCGATGCTTAAGAAAACCCAAGTTTTCGGCCAGAGTCTCGATTATTCTTAATGTTTCAATGTAAATCTTAACATTTGAATAGACATTCTGGGTTTGATTTCAAATTCTGAGACTATGAATTTCTTAACCCATGATTTCTAAAGCATTTCGCAGGGTGTACCCAGATCAGCCTCTCCTTCTCCCCGGCTGCTCCCTCCCACGCTCGCCTGCCGCGCACTTTTGGGGCCTCGACGGGCGCCGCGACTCGCCGCGGCGCGCTGGGGCGCGGCGCCCAGAGCCGCGCGAGCACAGCGGGACGAGGCACTCCTCCTCCTCCTCCTCCTCCTCCTCCTCCTCCTCCTCCTCCTCCTCCTCCTCCTCCTGCTGCCCAACATCGAGCCAGGGCCGGCGACGACCGACGGGTGCCCTGGCATCTGCTGCGGGGAGGGGCGCCGCGGGCGCGGCACTCGAGACTGCAGGCCGGCCCCCTTCCTGCGACTCTCTCTTCCCGAGCTGCCGCTGCTCCCGGGCGGGTTGCAGCTGCACGTGGACGGGCTGGAAGGCCGGCGTGAGGCACGCCCCGCGCGAGGCAGCCCATGGCAAGTGGTGCCAGGAGAGGGGTCCGGTGCGCGGCACGTGAGCCACACGCGGGTGCAGGCCATAACTCAGGAGGGAAAGAAACACACAGACACTATTCATCGTCGATTCCCCAGAAAACATGGGAAAATATGGGAAGTGGTGGGGGAGACAGAATCCCAGAAAATATTGAAGAATAGGGAGTCCTTTTATTTGTGTGTATGTATTTGTGTGTCCTGGGGCCCCTTCAATAACCTTGAACGAGACTCAAGATCAGAAGCACCCGTGATTGTTTAACATCTGGAACAAGTCTGCGCGGATGCTGCTCGTCATGAGGCAGGACCCAGTTCCCTACCGCACGGGCCGCGATTGTTCCGGCGAGACGACTGCGAACGATGCTTGAGCCCGTGGGGTCAAGTTGATGATACCAGGTGATCTGTGGCCCCTGCCAAGTCGGAGGGCCGATCGCTAATGGAGCACTCAGGGTCGATGGACAGACCCCTGTGACATTGAATGGTTTCGGCAATCACATTGCTATTTTTCCCTTGGAGAGTGCAGTTCGCATGCCAAGGTGAGGGATGCCAGGGTTAGGTTGCCAGCAGCAATCATATCAACATTCCAGATGTGGGGGCGCAGCTGGACACAAGAACCCTCGATAAAATTGATACAGTCAAACACGGTACCGACAAACACGGCAGGATGCTCAACCTTCATATTTACACATACGTGGGGCTTCTCACGCGTACTACGGGAACGCACGGGTCCGGCGCATGCTGAGGCGACCTGATCGACGAACATACGTCAGAAGCAGACGTGGTTGCTTTCATATTCTGTCATCTTTTCCGCGCTCACCCCCGAAAACATGGTACACCAGACATCTCGTCCAGCGGCAACTAAAAAGACTCCCGTGCTAAACTTGGGAACGCCAAGAGGTACCGATACCGCTACTCCCCAGACCTCTCCCGGGGTGCGTTCTGACCAGAATTTACAGGCGAATCCAGCGGCGACGACGAGGGCCTCCGAGGAGGCCCAAAAAGCAAAAGACGAGGAAAGGGTAGAGTCATGGGTACCTTCCCCGCCTCTGAGAACGTGGGCCAACTTCCCCCCCTCCCGCTCCTCGACCAGGACCCCCCCGCCAAAAGGCACCTCGGCCTGCCACTCCCCCCCCCCCTCGGCGGCCCGCGGGCGAGGACAAGCTGTGCCTGTCCGAGCAGGAGAGGGTGGCCATGCAGCTCGAGGCCGCACGCCGACGAGGAGGAGGACGACCCCAAGGAGGATCAGGGCTCCAGGGGGGATGAGGAGGAGGAGGGGGAGGAGGAGGAGGAGGAGGAGGAGGAGGAGGACGAGTGTAAACCTAAGAGTCATCGACGATGTTGGGATGAACCCTCCCTCCAAGCTCCCTCTTCACAGGCCCCTGCAGAGGTTCATTTCCATGGAGGGAACTGCCTCGTTGGAAGACCGCTTGAAGACCCTGGAGCATGCCAAAACATTGTTCTCGGGATTTCAGCGCCACCGAACAACCTGACTGCTGCGTCGTGACGATCCAGAATCGTGCCAGCGCGCCATTTTTGGTATTCCAACACCGCGAACCAAATAATTCTTGCACTTGCATAAGCCTGATTCTCTCCAAAGCACCATTCCTGGTAAGTTAATCACTGGACTCCGTGAAACTCTTGCAATCATTGAAGACGAATGTGCGCGGCGCTAAGGCGAGAGCTACTTTTTGAAAAGGAGCCGCCCCAAATCCGTGAAACTCTTGCACATGTTTTAACCGAATGTGCGCGGCGCTCAAGCGAGAGCCGCATTTTGAAAACTATCCGCCCTCAATCCGTGGAACTCTTGCCAATGTTTAAAACGAACGCGCGCGGCGCTGAGGCGAGAGCCACATTTTGAAAAGGAACCGCCCTCAATCCGTGAAACTCTTGCACATGTTTTAACCGAATGTGCGCGGCGCTGCGACGAGAGCCACATTTTGAAAACGACCCGCCCTTATGTGGAACTCTTGCAAATGTTTAAAACGAACGCGCGCAGCGCTGAGGCGAGAGCCACATTTTGAAAACCATCTGCCCTCATCCGGGGAAGATCTGGCAAATTTTCAAAACGAGTGCGCGCGTCGCTAAGGCAAGAGCGCGAGAGCCACATTTTGAAGAACACCCGCCCTCCATCGTCGAAACTGTTGCCACTTTTTAAGCTCCTGAGTCATACATGGTGAGGAAGTCTCATGCGATACGCCCGGCCCGCCCTAAAAACTTTCCTCGGGGTGCGACAGGGAGAAATTATTTACCAGGGAAAGGAATGGCGGAGGAGGAGGAGGAGGGTGAGGAGGAGAAGGAGGAGGAGGAGGAGAAGAACGACGACGACCCCGAGGAGGATTAGGGCTCGAGGATCGAGGCTCGAGGACAAGGGCTCGAGGGATGGGGTTCTGAGGCGCTTGCCTCCGTTGATATACTGGACTTCTGAGAGGGGGGGGCTGCTCGTCGGCGCGGCCGGATGTCTCCCCCGGCAGTGGACTCCTCTCTCGGCAGTTCTGGCCCCAGAGCGCGCCCAGCACGGAGAGGCCCGGGGGGTCGCTGGCAGGCAGGGGAGAGGCGGCGCAGATTGCCGGCGCGCGCATGTGGCGGACGGCGGAGGAGGAGGAGGAGGAGGAGGAGGGAGGAGGAGGGAGGAGGAGGAGGAGGAGGATAACGCTGCGACCTAAAACAAGTATTTGGACGGCCCTGCAGGGCCCGCATGCCGACACGGGCAGCGAAAAGCCGCGGGGTTGAAGCAGTCCATCCGCCGGCGGTCCAGTGCCGTCGTCCTTGTCGTCCGCGTCGCCCAGTCGCCGTACAACGTACCACTGCTGAACGCCCTGCTCCTGTACGTGGGCGTGAGCCTGCCCAACAAGCAGGGCGGCGCCTCGCAGGAGCCCCGCAGCCCCTACCCCCTGGTCGTTCGTCGCCGTCGTCCGTTGTCTTTCATTGTCGTCGTTGTTGTTCGTGGGCGTCCGTTGTAGTTATGGTTGTTGTTGGTGGTGTTGTTGTGGTTGTTGTGATTGATGTGATTGTTTTTGGTGTTGTTGATGTTGTTGTTGCTGTTGCTGTTGCTGCTGCTGCTGTTGCTGTTGCTGTTGCTGTTGCTGTTGTTGTTGTCGTTGTTGTTGGTGCTGTTGCTATTGTTGTTGCTGTTGTTGTTGGTGTTGTTGTGGTGTTGTTGATGATGGTGTTGGTGTTGTTGTTGTTGTTGGTGGTGGTGGTGTTGTTGTTGTTGCTGCTGCTGCTGCTGTCGTTGTTGTTGTTGTTGTTGTTGTTGTTGTTGTGGCTGTTGTTGTTGTTGTTGTTGTTGTGGGTGGTGTTGTTGTTGACGACGCCGTGTTTCAGAGGCCCCCCCTGGGGGAGGGGGGGAGGCGCACCGCACCGCGCGCACACTACCAGGCGCACCGCACCGCCTGCACCGCATCGCACCGCACCGCGGGGAACCTTTAGGCATCCTGAGGGTTCCCGAGGGAATCCTTAGGAATCCTTAGGGAATCCCTAGGGCGTCCAACGGAATCCTTCGGAACCCTTATGAAACCCATAGGAATCCCTGCGGAATCCCGAGGAATCCCTAGGGAAGCCTTCGGGATCCCCAGGGAATTCTCCGGAAACTTCAGGGGCTAGGGAATCCTCAGGAATCCCTAGGTTGTTCTACGGAGTCTTCGGGATCCCTGGGGGATCCTTGCGGAATCCTGAGGAATCCCTCGGGAATCCGACGGAACCCCAAGGAATCCGAGTGCGTCCCAAGGGAAGCCTTGGGGCGTCCTACGGAATCCTTCGGAATCCTTAGGGAATCCTTGGGAATCTTTAGGGAATCCTGAGGTATCCCTAGGGAACCATATGGAATCCCCAGGGAATCCTTTGGAATCCAAGGGGGTCCCTAGGGAACCCTTAGGAATTCTTAGGGAATCCTGAGGAATCCCCAGGGTGTTCTACGGAATCTTCGGAATCCCTACGGAATCTGGAGGCATCCTTCGGGAATGCTACGGAATCCTGAGGCATCCGAATGCATCCCTCTGGAAGCCCGACGGCGTCCTACGGACTCCTACGGAATCCTTTGGGAGAACGCCAGATGCTTCTGAGATGCCTCTGAGAGGCTTGCGTCCGAGAGGCCTCTGAGAGCTCTCTGAGAGGCCTGAGGCCTCTGACAAGCCTCTGAGAGGCCTCCGAGCTGCTTCTGAGAGGCTCCTGGGAGGCATCAGATGGCTTTCTGAGATGCCTTCGAGAGGCCTCTGAGAGGCTTATGAGAGGCTTCTGTTGCTCCTGGACTTATACCTCCTACCTCCTACCTCCTTGTCCTTCCTCCTTGTGGGAGGAGTGAGACGAGGACGATGCGGAGGAGGAGGAAGAGAAGGCGGTGGGAGGAGATCCGAAGATAGCTGTCGACGACGACGACGGCGATGACCACGACAATGACGACTCTGGGCCGTTTGGGCCCCTCGGGAGCGTGCTTGGGAGGATTATTGGCTACCTGGAGCCGTGTTGGGGCGATCTTGCAGCCTCTTGTAGGCTTGTTGTGGGCTATCTTGAGCCATCGAGGGCCATAGTATTGAGCGATTTTGGAGGTCATCTTGAGCTCTCTTGCGCCCTTTTGGCGCCATCTTAGGCCACATGGGACGCCCTAGCCCATCGCGGAACGCCACCTTTACAAACCCAGGGGTAGGGGGGTAGGAGGAGGGTTGAACACTTCTACAGAGGGAAGAGGGGGTTCAACAGAACGGGCTCCTTCAACAACTCACACCCTAAAGGACTGGCGGGGCTCAATACAGAGGACTGTCAGACACCAGGGGGCATGCCACTCGGCAACTACGGTGTGGTGGCGGATATCCAGGCGGTTGGCCGACGAATAGACCGTGCATTTCAACGGCACAGTAAGGACTACCAGCTCTCCATGGCAACCCGTGCAGCACTGCCCCGGCACATCCTTAGCAATTCTCGGTGACCGCGCGCCGCTCCAAAAGGCGACAACTTGGGTGCACAAGGGCCATGTCTCCTTACTTACGCTTCAGCAGCCCGCCAGGATTCCAATGCATTATGAAAGATTCCAAATGGCTCTGAAGGGTTCTAAAGGATTCTGGTGGATCCTCATGGGTTCTCAGGGAGTCTCCGTGTTTTTAGTGGCTCAGGAGGGCTTCTGGGAAGCCTTTGGAGAGCCTTTGGAGAGCCTCTGGAGAGTCTCAGGTGAGCTTCTGGAGAGCCTCTGGAGAGCCTCAGGAGAGCTTCTGGGGAGCCCCTGGGGAGCCTATGGAGAGCCTCTGGAGAGCCTCTGGCTTCTCAGAGGCCTCTGACAGGCTTTCCAGAAGCCTCTGAAAACTTCTGGGAGGCTTCTGAGAAGCGTCTGTGATGTCTCAGAGAGGCTTGTGAGAGGCTTCTGAGAGGCGCCTGAAGCTTCTGAGAGGCTTCTGAGAGACTTTTCAAAGGCTCCTGAAGCTTCCGAAAGGGCCTCTGCGAGGCTTCCGAAAAAAAGGCTTCTGAGTTCCGAGAGGCTCCTGCGAGGCAGCGTCCAGAAATGCAGTGCCTCAGGTTTGCAAAGAACAGTCACAATTTTCAATGCAGATGGTTCGAAGGGACCAGAGGGCATTCCTCTCAGCAGCTGCGGCGTGGTTGCGGATACCAAGGCGATTGGCCGACGATGATTCCGCGCAGTTCAAGGGCACAGTACGGATGACCAGATTCTCAAGGCCACCCTTGCAGCATCGCTCCAGAAGGCGACAACTTGGGCGCCCAAGGGGCTTGCATCCTTACCGCGCATCCGTGCCGCTCTTTATAAAGATGACCGATTGCCATCGCCGCCATCATCACCGTAGCGGTTGGCTCGAGTAGCGTTTTGGGGTGCGTTTGACGATGATGATGTTTCTGATGATGGGAATGACGATGATGATCATTCTGATGATGGTGATGACGATGATGACCAGCCTGATGATGATGGTGATGGTGATGGCGATGATGATCATTATGATGATGGTGATGACGAGGATGGCCATTCGGCTGATGGTTATGACGATTGTGATGGTATTGATGATGATACCCCTGTGCTAGGATCCCAGTTGGGGTGGATACACCTCTAATCGGATACTATCATGGGTGGATGTACTCCCACTGAATTCCGAATAACGGGGGACACCTTTTTAATGAGAATCAAGTCGGGGTGGATACACCTCTAATCGGATTCTAGTAGGGGTGGGTGCACCTCTAATGGGATTATATGAGGAGTGGATCCACTTCGAATCGGATTCTATTAGGGGTGGATACACCTCTAATAGGATTCGATTAGGGGTGGATCGACGTTTAATCGTATTCAATCAGGGGTGGATACACCTCTAGTGGGACTCTAGCAGGGGTGGGTACACCTGTAGTCGGATTCTATGAGGGGTGGGTACACTTCTAATGGGATCCTAGTAGGGGTGGGTCCACGTCGAATGAGATTCGAGTAGGGGTGTGGGTGTGTACCTTTTTCATCGGATTTCTGTTAGGATTTACTTAAGGGTGGGTACACCTCTACCAGGATTCTATTCGACTGGTTTCACCTCGTAGGGGGGGTACACCTTTAATGCGATTCAATTAAAGGTGGATGCGCCTCTACTGCGATTCTATTAGGGGTGGATACACTTGTAGTAGGATTCTATTAAGGGGTGGGTACACCTCTCATAGGATCCTATCAGAGGTGGATACACTTCCAATCGGATTCTATGAGAGGTGGACACACCGGTAATATGATTTCATCCGCGGTGGATGCACCTCCAATGCTATTCTATTAGGGGTGGATGCATATTTAATAGGTATCTATCAGGGGTGGATACACCTCTAATAGGATTCTAGCAAGGGTGGATACACCCCGAGTGGGATTCTATTCGGGGTGGGTGCACTGTAAATCGGATTTTATCGGGGGTGGACAGCCTTCTAACCGGGGTGGGTACACCTCTAGTAGGATTCTTTTAGTGGTGGACACACCCCTCATAGGATTCTAGTAGGGGTGCGGAGGTGCGGCGCGGTGCGGTGCCCCCCCCCCATGCGCCGATGGGGTTTCTGAATGCCGGTGTTTCTCCTGTGTGGGACGACGGGCCCAGGAAGTTTTTGTTGCCTTGTTGTTGCCTTGTTGTTGTGGTTGGTGTGGTTGTTGTGGAACATTATTTATTCTAAAGAATAATTATTGTTGGGCCCCCTGGTGCGCGCCCCCCCTGCGCCGCCTAGGCCGCAGCTACATTTTCATCATTTTCGTGAGGAAGCCTCAGAAAAGAGGGTGTGTACAGGATCCGGTTGTTTTGTTGTAATCCGCTTTCCCTTGCAAAAAACAATAGAAAATGACATTTCTTGTTCTAATATAATCAAATTTCAAGAATCCCTTGCAAAAAATAAGGTAAAGTGGACATTCGCGCGCGCAAGACGAAATCCTTCCAAAACCTTAGTGTTCGCAGCGATTTTAACATAAAAACATCAAAAAACCAATGGTTTTTCAACAAAAAATTGTCAAAATCTCATCCCGCGCGCTCTTGCGGATTCGTAGGAAACCCAACACTTTTTAAACATTTCTGTCAAACGGGCTTTTGCGAGCAACTTTTTCGAACTTCTGCGACAACGGTTGCGCACCTGCCAGGGCCATCATCCCTGTCAAATAATACCATGCGGGACACATTCGTTTTTTCTTCGCGCGCGCACGCCGAAATCTCCAAAAACCATTGGGCTTCTTCAGGGCAAACCATCGGGACAACCATCGAGACAACCATCGGGACAACCATATCCTCTCTCTCTTGTGTATTCCCACATCCCTCAGGAATTTGCCCTAAAGATGTGATCAACTATCTTGTGAGTACGTATCATGTGTATCATGTGTATCATGTACCATATGCATCATATGCAACAGATGTTCTGTGGAAGGCTTAACAACTTCTGTGGGTTAACAAGGCTTAACAACTTCTGTGGGTGTACGAACGTAGGCTTAACAACTTCTGTGGGTGTGTACTCCACGCCAGTGTAGTAGCCACGGTCGTCCGCAGGCCACGAAGTGAAGTGTCCGAACGTCATAGGGCGGGAAGCTGGGTGTGGGTGGTGGCGAAGAGTCGTGTGGATATTTGGTAGAGCTTGCACTGCCCCCCCACAAAGTGGGGGTATTGGCTGGCGTCGCATGAAAACCCTGGCACTGGTGAGAACACTGAGCGTTCGGGTAAAGTGATTGTTGTTGTTGTTGTTGTAGTTGTTGTTCTTGTCGTTATGGGTGGTGCTGTTGCTGTTTGTGCTGTGTGTGCTATTGTTGGTGTTGTTGTTGTTGTTGCTGTTGCTGTTGCTGTTGTTGTTGGTGTTGTTGTTGTTGCTGCTGTTGTTGTTGTTGGTGTTGTTGTTGTTGTAGTCGTTGTCGTTGTTGTTGCTGTTGTTGTTGTTGTTGTTGTTGTTCGTTTTCGTTTTCGTTCGTTCGTCGCTGTCGCCCGTCGCCGTTGATTTGTTCGTCGTGTGTTCTCGTCGTCTTCGTCGGTCGTGGCCGCCCTCGTCGTCGTGTGCCGTCGTTCGTCGTCGTCGTTCGTCGCGCCGGGCGTCGTCGCCAGCAGCCTCCGACGTTGTCGCGTCGAGCACCGGGCACAGGAGGCCCGAGAAGCGCTGCGGGCTGTCTGCTGGGCGCCTCGGAGGGCCGGGTCTGCCCAGGCCTCCGGAGAGCCGTGCCGAGGGCTCCTCGGGACCCGTGCGGGGCCCTCCGCAGGCCCTCGGCGACCTCGGGGGGCACCTCGCCCTGGCTCGTGCCGCCTCCTCCGGTGCGATTCGATGTCGACCGATGCGATTCGACGGCGGATGCCGCTCGGGATGCCGAGCTTTTGAGTGGAGGCTTACTGGCCTGCCGATTTCCGCCGATGCGACCTCTGCCGGCTCGGCTGCCGATGTCCGCCGATCCGATTCCTTCCGATCGCCGATCCGACTTGCCGATTCGATTCTGGGCTCTCTTGCCTCTCGAGACCACGGAACGACGACTGTCGTCCTCGTCGTTTGTCGTCGCCGTCCGAGGTCGCTTGTTTGTGGTCCGCTGTACGGAGGCGGGTTTGGGGTCGAGATTCGAGGTTCATGTGGTGGCCTCCGGGAGGCTTCTCGTAGCCACAGCCTGGGCTTCCTTGTAATATTTGTCAGCACACCCCAGGAGAGGTCGGGGGAACGATTTTTTAAGGGTGGGTCGTCGGCGTCGTCTTCTTTATCGTCGGCGCAAAGCCGATAAGTGAGTCCGCCGTCAAAACCAGGCTTGGAATCAGCCTGAGCATGCCCAGGAGGAGAATGGCCGCGCCTGGCGTCAAAGGAGAATGAAGAGGGAGACGAGGGGCAGATGAGGAGGAGGAGGAGGAGCGAGAGCAGGAGGAGGCAGACGGAGGAGGGCGACAACATGAACGAGGACGAAGGGGAGCAGGAGGTCGACGACGGCGGCAGGAGTCATCCGTGAAGATATTCGCTGATCTTTTGTTCAAAGAGACTCTTGGAGCCACGCTTCAGGAATACAACTCAGTATCGGGTGGGGAGGATGGGGTTGGGAGAAGTGAGGATATCCTTACCCGTAGGCGGCCCAAGGTATCATTCACTGCATCCGGGCGCTACTGCTCATACCCTTCATCCTCCCAACACGCTGCACGTTTGGTTGACGACCCCTCGTTTGAGCGATGCTGCAGCCTTCCCCGGGCACAGGCCCCCCCCCAGAGCATCAGCCGAGCAAGCTGGCTTTGCACCCTCGTGCCCTGCTGGACTCTGGGCGTGTGCCGGCGTCCCCACGACAGGGCCGCCGAATCTGGTGATGGCGATAGCGACAGTGGCTTTGGCCGACGCGTCCAAGCCCGGCGGCGTGCAGAACCCCTTCTTCCCAACACGATCATTGTTCTCCTCAATGTTGGAGCCCTCTTGGGGCAAGTTCGGGAGCTCTCGGTGTCCCTTTTCGGGGCCCTCCTGGGGGGCCCCTTGGAACCATCGTCGAGGGCATCGATCACCAATTCGTTTGGGGAGGGGGAGGAGGAGGAGGAGGAGGAGGAGGAGGAGGAGGAGGAGGAGGAGGAGGAGGAGGGGGGGGGGAGGAGGAGGAGTAGGAGGAGGAGGAGGAGTAGGAGGAGGAGGAGGGAGGAGGAGGAGCAGGAGGAGGAGGAGGAGGAGAAGGAGGAGGAGGGAGGAGGTGGAGGAGAAGGAGGAGGAGGAGGAGGAGCCCGACACATATCTTCTGGGAGCCCTCTCTTGAGCTCGTGAGGCCGTTTTATACTGCCTATGTGCTCTTCGGAGGCTCTCTCTGGCGATCTTGAGGCCACCTTGCGGCCTCGGAGGCCCATGGGAGTGGGAAGCCCCAGCGCACTCAAAGCCTGCGCCTGTAACTTCAGGCTTCGCCTCTCGGGGTCTCTCTTTTGGACGCTTCGTGGCCACTCGGAGCAGTTTTGGGGTGGTCCACGTGGCCTCTCGGAGGCATGCTGGAGGACATCTTGAGCCATCCGGGGCGCCGCCTTGGAGGCCATCTTGTTCCATCTGGCGCCACCTTGTAGGCATCTTGGCCCAGAATCCTCCCACGGATGTCCCCGAGATGGCACAGTCTTCCAAGCACAGAGGGCGTCTTGATGGTTTCGGCTGTGAACGAACAAAACAGCATCGATTAGCTTTGCCCCTCCCGGGACTGAAACGTCCCCTCTTGGGGCTCTCTTGGGGTGCTCTTGGGGCCCTCTTGGAGCCTTCCTGAGATCCCCGGGAGCTCTCTTGGGCGATCTTGAAGCCGTCTTGCAGTCCCAGAGGCCCACTGGACGCGAAACGTGTTTGAATGATTTGTGGATCTTGTCGGCATCCTTGGGACGCTTCGTGGCCACTTGGAGCCATCTTGGAGTGGCACTGGGGCCTCTTCGAGGCATGCTGAAGGTCATCTTGGACTACCTTGTGCCATCTTGGAGGCCATCTTGGCCGCTCTACTAATGTCACGGCACCGTATGTGTTGCCGCGGCCTCTAGTGTCGAGCGTCGTCGGTCGTCGTCTTCGCTCTGGAGCCCGCCTAGGAAGGGGGAGCCGCAAAATCTAGGGGCAAGGGGGGCGGGAGTTGGAGAGGGGTGCAAACTATAGGGGCAAGAGGGGCGACGAAGGGGAGAGGCGCACACGGAAGACGCAGGGGGCAATGGTTGGCAATATTGGTGAAGCAGAAATGGCAGGGATGCAGGGCATCGGTCCTGCAGCATGCTTCTGCCCCTCGGGCCTGACAGTGGGAGCACGCCCCCCCCGGCGGGCGCCCTGCCCGACGTCGTCGTCGTGGACGCCCACCGTCGGCTGACGTCGTCCTCGTTGAGCGTCTTTGTTTGTCGTCTTCATCGTGGCCGTCGCTGTCACCGTCGTCGCAGTCGCGCCGTCGCCATCGCCGTCGCCGTCGACGCCGCCGCCGCGTCGTCGTCGCCGTCGTCGTCATCGTCGTCGTCGTCCCGCGGCCGCCTGCCAACAACGGACGGCCTTCGCCGATGAAGGGAAGGCCCGATCAACCGCGGGGACGCGAGGAGAGTCGCGTTTCGCGCGTCGCGGGCCTGACCAAGGCGGCTGTCCTTCGAGGGGGGCGGCAGGAGGACGCACTGGCGCGAGGATAATCCTGCGTCGCGCATCGCGGGGCGCACTGCGCGTAGCCAGGTTGCCTAGGAAAAGACCCCCGATGGAAACAAGTCCTTTTTGCCAAGCGAAGAACAGTGCAGTATACGGCCGGACCAGGGGATCTGATCGAGGTCTGCTCGGGGAGGGTACCCTGATGTTCTTCGTGTATGGTGGATGTTCTTGTGCATCCTGTGGGAGGGTACCCTCGAGTTGTCTCTGGTTTGGGGTGTTTTGGCCAGCGGAGGGTCTCATGTTCTTGAAGGATGTTCTTCTATCCGAGGTCCGACGGTAATATTGTTCGCCATCGGGGGACGCTTGTCCCAGGACGGTTCGGAAGGTTCTACCCCCCCGAGTGCCGCCGTAGGAGTAGACATGGCTGAGCCCGCTTGGGACAGCTTTCCCCCTGGCGGGGCTGGGACGAGGAGAAATTCGTTTCAGAGCTTTCCAGAGCGCTCTCAGAGCGCTCTGGAACGCTCTGCGAAGGGCGCAGTGCCCGAGACGTTCTCCAGAGCCACCGGATCTCAGAGATCCTCGATTTATCCTCACCCGATGTTGTCCTCGCCTTTGCTTCGTCTGGGTGTGAACACGAGCATTGGGGGGCGCAGGTGGGGCTCCCGGTGGGGGCGGAAAACGTGTGATGGGTGCGTGCAGGAGTGGGCATGCGGAAGGAAAGAAGAGGCAGGGAGGCAAGGAGGAGGAGGAGGAGGAGGAGGGGGAGGAGGAGGAGGAGTTGGAGGAGGAGTTGGAGGAGGAGTTGGAGGAGTTGGAGGAGGAAGAGGAGGGGGAGGAGGAGGGAGTTAGAAGAGGAGGAGGAGGAGGAGGAGGAGGAGTTGTAGAAGTCCTTCGCCTCCTGCTCCTCCTCCTCCTTAGAAGCGATTGAGGGGGTTCATTCGGCGAGCATCCCCCCCTCCATCGATCGGCGGCGAGCGAGGGGGAGACCTTTCGGGTTCAAGGTTAGGTTTTCGGACGTGTTCGTCGGTTCTCGGCGGCTCGTCCAGCCTCGCGATGCCTGCCAGCAGCTGCGCCTCGCCGGGGGCGTTCCAGAGGTGCCCGGATCGTTCCGAACGGCCGTCGGAGGCCCGAGTTCTGATCCAAAGCCAATTTCGGCGGTGCGCCTGGGAGGGGAAGGGAGAAGGAGGAGGCCTGCTCGGAAGGCGGCGGGGCTCGTCAGAAGCCCCTCGCGAGAGGTTGTATGCGTCTTCGGGAGGGAAGGCTTAGAACATGTTTCGGGAGGCCAGAGGACTTCCGAGCCTCCTGAGAAGGCCCGCCCCCTCTCACTTCCCCCCCCTGGCCAAGCCTGGGGGGGCGATAGGATGTTTTCGGTACTGCGTGGTCATGGTTCCTCTGTTCAGTCGCTTCACGGACTCCTCTGGCCCGTGTCGCGTCATCGTTGACATTTGCTCGTGTCGAGAAGAGCGCACGGCCCAGAGGGGAGATTACCTGTGAAAGCGAAGCGACACCGGATGAGCCCACGCAGCACCCAGAAATGGTCAGCTTGGTGCCCTGTTTGAGGCATCGCCCAAGCTTCACCATCGAAGCCCGAGCAACAACTCCGAGCACAGTGAATGACTACCACCACCAAGATCGAGAATAATCAGCGATGCGATTTGGTGCAGTTTTGCTCTGGTGAAAAGCCCGCAGTCCCCCTCCCGCCGCCAACGGCAACCGGACTACCCCCTCTCTCTTACGGACCGGAAAAGACTTCATCGAAGCGCGCGCGGTGGTGGTGTATAAAATTTTGGTTACCAAGAGGAGCGATTTTTATACACCACCACCAAGAAGTGCTGTTTCTGCTTCAGGAACTCCCCATGCCGCGGCGCCTGCGAGCTGCGCCGCGCTCCTTTTCGCCGTGGCGTCGCAGCATCGTCTGGCATGACCCTGCCCCTAACCCTTCTTGCGGTAAGTTACTGTTGCGGGCGGTGGTGGTGTATAAGAATTAGCCTCGCAAAAACGCGAGACGTCAAGGATCGTTGAAAACATGCATATGTTTATGCTCTGGGGAACTCATGGGAGCATCTTGGGTGAGTATCTCGGCGAGTCTGGGGGTCTCTTGGAGGCCTCTGTGGGGCTTCCTGGCGGCGTTTCGGAGGCTGCCTTGGGGCCTCCTGGGGACTGCCTAGCCCCACCCGTCCTGCTCGAGCGCGCGGGGGAAAACGCCAGCCCTGGGCAGCCTGAGCCGAGGAATGGCTGATACGGCGGAAATTTATACATGACCACCGCCTGGAGAATCAATGTTCGGGGATCTCGGCAGGCGGTGGATATGGATGTATTCGGGCCCCTGGGAGCCCAAATATATCCATATCCACCGCCCGCTGGGGTACCAGGACGTCGGTTCCCAGGCGCTGGATATGGATAAATCCCCGCCTCGCAGAGGACGCCTCTCCCGATCCGTGGACTCCGACCGGTGATGCCTCCCAGACATCCCAGCTGGCGCTCTCGTCACCGTGAGGAGGCGGCTGACTGGGATGTCGGGGAGGACTTCTCTCCCGATCCGTGGACTCCGACCGGTGATGCTCCCAGGCATCTCAGCTGGCGCCCTCCTCACCGGGAGGAGGCGGCTGACTGGGGATGTCTGGGAGGACTTCTCTCCCGATCCGTGGACTCCGACCGGTGATGCCTCCCAGGCATCCCAGCTGGCGCCCTCCTCACCGGGAGGAGGCGGCTGACTGGGGATGTCGGGGAGACGCTCCTCGGGCGGGCCGAGAACCAGGGTCGCCCCTGAGCATTCCAAAACACACTCACAGCGCTCTGGAGCGCTCTGGCGCGCGGCGCGGCCGCGGCGCCCGATACAGCCTCCAGAGCCGCTGGATCTCAGGGATCCCCGATGCACCCCAGTCCTACAGCCAAGACGCTGGAAGAGGAGCAGTTCGGGTCCGGAACGGGCTCGCTGTGCCTTGGGCCTTTCCGTGGTAGTTCTTCCAGCCCTCGTGCATTCAGGCTCCTGTGGTGCCAACATGGGATTCGTTCCTTGTTTAGCGTTATTTCGGCAGCCCGACCGTATGCTGTCCCGCTCCTGGCCTCGGTTTCACGTGCAGGGGGGCGGAGTAGCGGACAGACCGAGCAGCCCGCGCAGAGAGACCGCCCCCAGCAGCGCTCAGACGGGGCCAGGACGAGGAGATGTCCGTTCGATAGCGTTCCCGAACGCTTTCAGAGCGCTCCAGAACGCTCTGAGAAGACCGCGGCGCCCAATACATCCTCCAGAGCCGCCGGATCTCAGAGTTCTCGATGTATCCTCACCTGGGTTCATCCTCGTCCTGGCTTCGTCTCTGGCGCCTGGGACCCCGCGGCGGCGCCTCCAGCGCCGCCCCTGGCGCGCGGAGCGCGCCAGGGAGGGGGGCCCAGTGCGGATCCAAGAGATCCGCGCGGAGTGAGTCAAGTCCATCACGTCGAGATCCAAGAGATCATGCCCGCGCAGATCCAAGAGGCCATGTCGAAAGTCAATGTGCGTGCCGTCTTCTGGCTTCGTCGAACTGGGCATGGCCAGCGTGAGCGCGTCGCGCCCTGCGTGCCCGCCCCAGTCCGGGCTCGACCTCGCGCCGCCCCCTCCCCGGCGTGGCGCCGCTCGCGCGCGGGCCGATGGGGCGTCTGGCGGGGCCCGTCGCGCTGCTCGCCGCCCTGAGGAGCGGCGCGCGGCCCCGCGCGGCTGCGTCGTCGTCCTCTCTCCCTCGGTCCTCGTCTTCGTCCTCCTCGGTCCTCGCCCTCCCCTCCCTCCCTCCCTCCTCTTCCATCCTCCCTCCTCGTCCCTCCTCGTCCTCCTACACCCTCCTCGTCCTCCCCCCTCCCTCCCTCCCTCTCTCCTCCCTCCCTCTCTCCTCCTCCTCCTCCTCCTCCTCCTCTCCCTCCTGCTCCTCCTCCTCCTCCTCCTCCTCCTCCTCCTCTTCCTTCTGCTCCTCGTCCACCACCCTCCTCCTCCCTCCTCCGGCCCTCCTCCCCCCTCCAACTGTGACACGCTCAACCTGCTTTACACCACCCGTCGTCGTCACCGCCGCCGCCGCGTCTCCGTCGTCGCCGCCGTCGACGCCGTCGTCGTTGTCGTCGCCGTTGCCGTCGCCGTCGCCGTCATCGTCGTCGTCGCCTTCGTCGGGTCGCCGTCGCCGTCATCGCCGTCGTCGTCGTCGTCGCCGCCGGCGCCGCCGCCGCCGCATCGTCGTCGTCGTCGTCGTTGTCGTTGTCGTCGTCGTCTGGGCCATAACGCGCGTAGTGCCCCCCCTCTCCCCTCATAACGTAACGCTCCCCCCGCCCCCCATTGTGCACCTCCGACACTGCCGTTGTGATGCTCGTTGGCCGCTGTGTTGCTTGCAGGCTACTTAGACGTTCACGGGCTAGCGTGGCGTTGACAGGCTCATTGACCGTGCACGTGGACATGTTGTTGCGCTCGCAGGCTACTGTCGCACATGCGGGGTCTGGCAGGTTTTTTTCCGCACGCGCGCGGGGCTCGCGCGGCAGTCTGGTGCTGGCAGGGCCGCGAGAGTTGTGGCTGCGGTATTGGCGTAGCAGTAACAGTAATACGTACCAGGAGGAGAAGGAGGAGGAGGAGATGGAGTTGGAGGGAGGGTGGAGGGTGACGGGATGTCGTCGTAATCGTCGACGTGGTAATCGTCGTGGTGACCATTGTTGTGATTGTCGTAATTGTCGTCGTCGTAATGGTCTTGTTCGTCTTAGTCGTAGTGATAGTCGTCGTCAGTGTGTGGTCGTCATTGTGACCGTCGTCGAAACAGTTGTAGTCGTCGTAGTCTTTGTAGTCGTCGCGATAGTCATCGTAGTTAGTCGGCGAGAGCGTCGTCGCGATCGTCACCGTGGTCGTCGTCAGGTGGCCGTCGGGATCGGAGTCGTAGCAGTCGTCCTGGTTGGCGTTGTCTTCCTGAGTCGTAGCCGTCGCGATCGCCGTCACGATCGTTGTCGTAGCTCTCGGCGTCATATTTATAGATCGTCGGTGGCTGTACGCTTGTGCATTCTGCTCGGTTGCACCTGAAGTTCTTGAGCAGGAGGTGTTCTGAGGGTCGAAGAACATTTGCATCAACATCACGTCTCGGAGATCCTCGGAGATTCGAGGGATCGGCGTTGGGCACCCCTCCCTCGCGTGCTGAGCGCAACGGGGGCGGCGTCGGTTCTCGTCGTCGTCCGTCCCGTTTTTCTTGGAAAGGTTCTGAAGGTCGTCGTTGCCGCGGCCGCGCGCAGCTCGAGCATCTGGCTTCGGTTAGCCCAGAGCTGAGGTCAAGCGGATACATTTGACTTGAACGTATTCGAGGATCGAGGATCCAGGCTCGAGGTTGGCAGCGTGACCAGCAGGGCGTTTATCCGAAAGGCTTGCGCTATTCTGCCACGCGGTCATCGCAAGTACAGTCAGTTGCTCACAGGCGCGCCGCTGTGCTCACAAGCTACCGGGTTGCCAACAGAAGTGTTGTCGTGCTCTCGCAGCTGTTCACCCATATCGTGCGTGCTTGCAGGCACCATTGTTGCCCGCCCTCTCCTTCGGGGCAAGGGGCGCCCAGACCCCTCTCAGAAACCGTTCCTACAACAGAATTGCAATCATCGGATAGGTTGTGGCGTATACACAAAGCGCTGTGGTGCATGCGGGTTCGGCGGTGTGCGCAGGCGCTGCGGTGAACGCGGCTGCTGTGGTGCACGGAGGCACTGTGGTGCACGCAAGCACCGTGGTTCACGCGCGCAGCATGCATCGGGACAGGCAATGCGGTGCAGATTTGACAATGTTCGTGTTACTCTGTGTCCGTGGAGGCGGTAGAAGCAGAGTACTGTAGCAGTCTTGACAATGCCAAGTAGATGTAGTACCACGGCGGCAGCAGCCACCAGCACATAATAATGTTCGAAGGAGGGTGTGGGGTGGGAAAAAGCGCTTTGGTGCACGATGGTGCACGTACGCATTGCGCATTACAGAAGCGATGTGGTGTACACGCGGCTGCGGCGGTGCATTCTGTGCTGCGCACGGTGGTGCTTGCTGCGATGCAGGCAGGAGCTGTGGTGCTGGAGCCAAGCGGCGGGGGGGGGTGGGGCGTAACGTTCTGCCCCCGCCCCGTCCCGCCGAAACGCCCGCTATGGCTGGCCGCGAATCATCAAGTCCGCCCGCTCGCAGGGGATCTGCGATCGAGGTTTCAAGCGCTGGGAGCCTCTCCTGGGCCTCCACGCCTGGACGCAGCAAGAACAATTGTCCGAAGTAACGTCTTGGAGGGCTCGTCCTCGCCGTTGCCGTCGATCTTTCTGTCTAGATGGCACGTCAATCGCTGGTCGTCAGTCGTCAGTCGTCGTCGTCGCCGCCGCCGCCGTCGTAGTCGTCGTCGTCGTCGTCGTCGTCGTCGTCGTCGTCGTCGTCGTCGTCGTCGTCGTCGTCGTCGTTAGCGTCAGCGTCGTCGTCGTCGTCGTCGTCGTCGGTTGTCTGGGTTCGAGGATCCAGAGCCGAGGTTGTTGGACATGTTTGGAGCTTCCGCCTCTGGAACCTTCGGTGGCGCTCCCTATGGGGCCACGAAGCGTGTGAGTGGTGAGCCGAAACTGTGTGGGGCGCACGCATGCGAACGAGGACGAGGAGAGGAGGAGGAGGAGGAGGACCACCAATGTAAACCCAAGATTCACCAACGATGTTGGACTAAACCCTCCCCCCAAGCTCCCTTTGTCATAGGCCCCTACAGCGGTTCATTGCCACAGGGACCTGCCTCGTTGGAAGACAACCGTTTTCAGACCCTGGAGAGCATGCCAGAACATTGTTCTCGGGATTCCAACGCCACGGATCAAGCTGAGTGTTGCGTCTTCACGTTCTTGAATCGTGCCACAACGCCGTTCCTGGCACCCTCATAGTCGTGAATCTTTCCGAAACGCAATTCCTGGTACGTCGATCATGGGAATCCGCGAAACGTTCTGCATTTGTCAGACGAATGTGCGCGGCGCTAAGGCGAGAGCCACATTTTGAAAAGGAATCGCCCTCAATCCGTGAAACTCTTTGCTAATTTTGAAAATGAGTATGCGCGGCGGTAAGGCGAGAGCCAGATTTTGAAATCGACTTGTCCTCAATTCGTGAAGCTCTTGCACATGTTGACGACGAATGTGCGCGGCGCTAAGGCGAGAGCCACATGTTGAATACCACCCGCCCTCCATCTGTGAAGCTGTTGCCATTTCTTAAGCTGCAGGGCCACAAGTGATGAGGAAGTCTCAGGCCAAATGCCCGGCCCGCCCTTAGAAAAGGGCCCTGGTGTGCGACAGGGAGAAGTTGTTTATATGGAGGAGGAGAAGGAGGAGGAGGAGAAGGAGGAGGAGGAGAAGGAGGAGGAGGAGGAAGAAGAGGATTCGCTGAGGATTCGTTCGCTGTCGGTTTGTCGAGGCGGCCGAGGGCGCGGCGACGAAGCCTTACGAGGCACCCGTCATCCCAGACCTGTCCTGGTCAGTCGAGGGCCTCAGAGAG